GTTATTTTATTTTGAGACAGGGTCTCATTAAGTTGCTGGTGCTGGTCTTGAACTTGTGCTCCTCCTGCCTCAGCCTCTGGGTGTGCACCTCTGGGGCCTGACCGATGGTCATTTTTATTCACATGGACTGACAGCCCAGCTCAGGAATGTCCTAGACCTGGAGTCTCCTGGGCCCCAGCGGTTCACCCTCCCGTGAAGGCAGGGAGCCTCCTGGTGTTCCTTTCAGGACAATTTCTTCCTTTAAAGACAGAGGTTCACTCCCCGCTCCATCTGGGACCTTGCTTGTAGGAAGGGCCTGACTCCTGTGGGTCTATGGCTGGCCCCTCCCCCAGTCCCTCTGAGCCCCTCCTCCTGCAGCCCCACCTCCCTGTGGCCCCAGGAGCTGAGCTGTCTGCCTCCTCCTGCCCCTGCTGCTAGTCCAGCTTGGGAGCCTCTGAGGCTGCCGTGGCCTCCGCACCTGCTGCCTCCACCTCTGGCTGAGGCCCCGTGGTCACCAAGTGCGATTACGTGAGCCTGGGACCCACCGGCCCCTTTCTGCTGCTGATGTATTCTGAGGCCCAGCTAATGTTCTTTTTTTGTACTTAATTGAATTTTTATCAACAATTCGCCCCTCTTTTATGCTTGTTTTGGTTCTTTTCCTGTAGCAGACAGCAAAAGCTTCCTAGAACCCATTTCCTGCCAGGCCTTTTTGCAGGATTAGTCATTTTTAAATGTCTTTAATCTCCATTTCGAAAGCAATTTTTTCGACTTATTTTGTTGTATTTCTTTGATCGTACTCACTCTGGAAGGGGAGGGGAAGCTGAGGTTCTGGCACTGGGCGCTGTATCTCCCGGTTGATTTTCTGTGTCACAGCCCACTCTCCTTGAAGGAGGGAGCCACCTTAGAGTGGTGGGTTTCCATCCTGGTTCTGTGGCTAGCTGTGTGGCATTGGACAAATTACTTAGCCTCTCTGTGTCCTGGCTTTTCCTCTTTGGTCAATGAAAATGGTAATAAGGGGTACCTACTGGTTGAGAGGATTGAGTGAGTTAATACACATAGACCCTTAGAAGAATGGCTGGCACAGAGTAAGTCCACTTAAGTATTTACTTGAACGTGTGAGCGAGTAGCTGTCTAGTAGTTCCTTTCCTTGAAGCTGCTTTTCCTGAATTCTGGAATGCTCCTGTGGAAGGGAATCTCGGGAGCGCCTTCACCTCATGCCCACACCCCTGCAGCTGAGTCACAACTTTGGCTCCTGCTCGCCTGCCTGGCTCTCTTCTGGAACACTTAGCTTAGTGCCCCTCACACAAAACGCACTTGGAGCGGGTGGGACGGCGGCAGCCAGGGTGGAGTGTTATTTGAATAAAAGGCTTTAAACAGGGCAATCTGGAGTTTGGGACTTTATATGTCAACATGCCCATTTCCTCTGATTGGGCCTTTTACACTTAAGGAGCCTTATTTTCATTTCAATTCAGATGATTATAATCTCAGCAGTTGCTCACTTTGTTGCTTGCAGAATAATATGCTTTGCTTTAGTTTCGAAACTTGTTTGCAGAAAAATAAAGCCAACCAGCCAGCCCCGCGGTGGCTCTTGGGTACTCTGGTGCCCGGCAGGTTCCGCTCTGCCTTGTCAAGGCCAGCGATTGAGTGACTGGTGTCAGGCTGTGGATTAGGTCCTGCACTTCTGGGAGATGCAGTCCGGCCAAAGTGCCCAAGCCTCTGGCTGCGTCCAGGGCCAAAATCCTCCACCTCCCTCAGCCTTAGCTTTCTCGTGGCAAAAATGGGACGTTCCATCAGATACGATTGTTTGAGGATTAAAAGAAACGAATTGCGATAAGAGACCTGGTAGGCACAGGGCTGGCGCACGGGGCGTGCTCTATCCACGTAGCTGCTAAAATTAGCACTAGTGGTACTAATTAGTACTAATTATTATTATTGGCAAAATAGTGCTTTTGTTTAACAGCTTTATTGAAGTGTAATTTGCACACATAACATTCACTTATTCCGAGCACAACACTCGGCTGCTCTTCAGCGAGCCTGCAGAGCTGGGGGGCCCCCCATCACACCCTTGTTCGAGAGCTTTCCCGTTTTCTCACCTAGACCCCCCTTGCCTGATTCTGAAGACCTTCCTGGGCAGCTGCGGATCTGTTTTCTGTCTGTGCCGAGGCCCTTTTCTGGACTTGCACGCCGATAGAGTCACATTGGTTTTCCTATTAACTTTTCTCGCCCACTCCTCCATGATGCGTTCCTGGTTTTGGATGTAGAAACTGAGTCTGGTGGGTTAAGGGAAGTGCTGGGGGTCTGGAGGTGTTACGGAGGAGCAGGGAGGGCTTGGGGTATCCTCTGGTCCCCAGGTGGCGTGAGGGTCTTGGGGCAGAGGAAGCCCTGTCGGAATGCCTGTCCAGGCCCGTCGCCAGGCAAGGTGCCCTTCTGTTCTCACTCACCAGGCGGTGGCGAGGGCTCCACTGGGCTCTGGGGCCTCTCTGGGCCCTGGAATGTCCCAGCCTTGCTCACGAGGGGGGACTCGACAAGGAGAGAAAGACCTTGACTATCTGGAGCCTTCGACCCTGGCCGCCTCGCTCTTCTTACCTGCACAGGTGTGGCCTTCTTGACCGTTACCTGGGGAAGCTGGTACAGACCCACATTGTGGTCAAGAGGCCTGAAAGTGTCCTCGTATCAGTCTCGTCACTGTCCCCTCATCATTTCCTGGCGCTGGGTTACGTGTGCCACGTCGTTCTCCTGGGTTGCTCGGTGGGCGTGGCACTGTGAGAAGGTGCTCAGCAGGGGGCTGGGCACCCGAGGAAGGTGCTGTGGCCTCTGGGGGGAGCTAAGATGTCAAGATGGTAAAGCGCCAGTCTGAGCTTGGCGGGGGGCAGGGGCCGCAGGTCCCTTGGGGCCGTCCTAGCTCCAGCCATCCCCTCCCTTGGGTCCCTTTTGTCTGCACCCTGTGGAGCCCAGCTGGCGCGAGCTGGGGATTAGAGGCAGGGGCTGGGGCACCTCCCGCCGAGTTTCATCTGGGAAGCTGGCAGCGGCTGCGTCCTTCCCGTCCGAAGGGCCTGTAACGTGAGGCCCCCGGGGGACGGTGCCCTCGCTCAGCTCCGGGAGGGTGTTCCTAGAGGTGCTGGGCTGCAGAAGCCAGGACGCGCAGCCGGGAGCCTGGGAGCGCAGCATCCTTCCAGGTAGAGCTTTGCCAGCCGTGCCCGCTGGGGTCAGGCGGGTCTTCACACAGTCGCAGGGGCCTGGGCGGGCAGCGGGGTGGTGGGTACGGCCTAGGACCACGCACAGCACCCGCCGGAGGGACTCCCAGGTTCTCCAGCCCAGTCCTCGCTGTCTGTTGAAGTCTTGGGGTCAGCCTGGGACAGCAGGGGCCACTGCAGAGAGCCTTGTGTGGGAACCCTGGGGGTGTGAGTGTGCTGGTGCAGGTGAATACGTGTGTATGTGAGTGTGTGCATGTGAGTGTGTGCATATGTGAGTCATGGTTTGAGTGTGTGGGAGTCACAGTGTGAGTGGTGAGCGTCTGTGACTATGTTGTGATGGTGTGTGTGGCTGAGTGTGCACGTGTGCAGGCTTAAGTCTGAGTGATAATGGGAGTGGATGTATGCAGGAGCGATGGTGTGTGTGGCTGTGTGTGTGTAGGTGTAGGAATGGAGTTCAAGGGGTGTTGGTGATGGCGTGTGGGCATGGGTATGAGTGTGTGTGTGTGTGTGTGTGTGTGCATGCGTGTGCTTGCCCGCTGGCCCTTTCCCTTCCTGCAGGCCTGGGTTGCCTCTGGGCCGAGACGTCTGAGCTACTTCAGTGAGACTTTTCTGAGGACTGAGCTCGGCTGGCTGGCTGGGGCTGGAGAGGCGGGGGCAGTGATTTTTTTCCTCGGGGTTACAAGAGCAAGGTCAGCGCAGCCGAATCTGAGCTTTTGTTTGTCTCTCCCCTGCCCGCAGCAGCCTGCGGTCTGTTTCATTCATTATTAAGTTTTAAATCCACCCGAAGAGAAACTTGAGCCTCGGATCTCGCTCCCTGCCCGGGCCTGGGGAACCTCTCTGGCTGTGCTGGCTGCTCTGTGTGCCTTTGTTTTCCCAGGAACGGCCAGCCCTGGGGTTTGTTTAGCTTCCCTCCGAGGCTGGAAGGGCCAGTGAAGCCTGAGGGTGGCCCTGGTCCCCAGGGAGTCTTTGCGAGGAGAGCCGCTTGGTGGAGCTCAGGGGTTGTCTCTGTGGAACTCAGGGTCCCTCCCTGGCCCTCCAGGTCCTGTTCTTCCATCATGGGCACCGTCAATGCATCTCCTAGGACTGGGTCCGGGTGGACTTGGGGCAGATCCAGGGATGGCGTGGAGACAAAGAAATCAGAGGCTGTGTGCTGGGAACCCCCCAAGGCCATTCCCTAGTGCCCTGGGCTCCGGTCCCCATCTGAGTGCCAAGTGCAATTCAGGAGTCCTGTGACTTCACACCTCCGATTTCTTGTCTGTTACCTGAAAAGCTGTTCCCAGCTCTACGGGTCCCTTCAGCCACAAAGAACGTGGTACAGCTCATAACAATAAAGGGCTTTTTTTTTTTTTTTCTTGCAACATTTTACCTGTGCCCCTGAGGACCAGTGGGATTGCCCTCCAGGATCAGGGGTTGGAGGGGAGTCGGCCCCCAGGTGTGGATCAAGCGATGGGACTTGTCTTCCTTTTGGCCTGTGGGACTGATGGTCCGTGAGGTCACTTCCGGTGACTTTGTCCAGGTTGCCGCTCCTCCCCCCTTCGGGGAAGTGGCTGGGAGCTTCACCTCCGGTGGGGGGTACCGCATCCAACCAGGCCCAGGCAGGTGTTGCTGAGGAAAAAGATATTTCCCCTCCGCGTCCTGCTGCTCCTCTGCAGATGGGAAGGCCCGCATGTCCACTTGCTTCCGGCCCCCCGCTCCCCCCGGCTCCCCCTGCAGCAGTTGGCCAGCTGCACAGCCTCAGCCCGAGAGCTGTCGAGAAGCTGGCTCTGTCCTTGTTTCCCGGCGGCCCTGGGAATTGCCTCTAATCTCTTCTCTGCCTTCCCCCTGCAGATGGTGATGACGACCCACAACTCTCCTGGGTGGCCTCGTCTCCCTCCAGCAAGGATGTTGCGTCACCCACGCAGATGATCGGAGATGGTTGTGACCTCGGCCTCGGGGAGGAGGAAGGGGGCACGGGCCTGCCGTACCCTTGCCAGTTCTGCGACAAGTCCTTCATCCGCCTGAGCTACTTGAAGAGGCACGAGCAGATCCACAGCGACAAGCTGCCGTTCAAGTGCACCTACTGCAGCCGCCTCTTCAAGCACAAGAGGAGCCGAGACCGGCACATCAAGCTGCACACGGGCGACAAGAAGTACCACTGTCACGAGTGCGAGGCGGCCTTCTCCCGCAGCGACCACCTCAAGATCCACCTGAAGACCCACAGCTCCAGCAAGCCCTTCAAGTGCACCGTGTGCAAGCGCGGCTTCTCCTCCACCAGCTCGCTGCAGAGCCACATGCAGGCCCACAAGAAGAACAAGGAGCACCTGACCAAGTCCGAGAAGGAGGCCAAGAAGGACGACTTCATGTGCGACTACTGCGAAGACACCTTCAGCCAGACGGAGGAGCTGGAGAAGCACGTGCTCACCCGCCACCCCCAGCTCTCGGAGAAGGCGGACCTGCAGTGCATCCACTGCCCCGAGGTCTTTGTCGACGAGAACACGCTGCTCGCCCACATCCACCAATCCCACGCCAACCAGAAACACAAGTGCCCCATGTGCCCCGAGCAGTTCTCCTCCGTGGAGGGCGTCTACTGCCACCTGGACAGCCACCGGCAGCCTGACTCCAGCAACCACAGCGTCAGCCCGGATCCCGTGCTGGGCAGCGTGGCCTCCATGAGCAGCGCCACCCCCGACTCCAGCGCCTCCGTGGAGCGGGGCTCCACCCCGGACTCCACCTTAAAGCCGCTGCGGGGGCAGAAAAAGATGCGGGATGATGGGCAGGGCTGGTCCAAGGTGGTGTACAGCTGCCCCTATTGTTCCAAGCGGGACTTTACCAGTCTGGCCGTGCTGGAGATCCACCTGAAGACCATCCACGCGGACAAGCCCCAGCAGAGCCACACGTGTCAGATCTGCCTGGACTCCATGCCCACCCTCTACAACCTCAACGAGCATGTCCGGAAGCTGCACAAGAGCCACGCCTACCCCGTGATGCAGTTTGGCAACATCTCTGCCTTCCACTGCAACTACTGCCCCGAGATGTTCGCCGACATCAACAGCCTGCAGGAGCACATCCGCGTCTCCCACTGCGGTCCCAATGCCAACCCGCCCGACGGCAACAACGCTTTCTTCTGCAACCAGTGCTCCATGGGCTTCCTCACCGAGTCCTCCCTCACCGAGCACATCCAGCAGGCGCACTGCAGTGTGGGCAGCGCCAAGCTGGAGTCTCCGGTGGTACAGCCCACGCAGTCCTTTATGGAGGTCTATTCCTGCCCCTACTGCACCAACTCCCCCATCTTCGGCTCCATCCTGAAGCTCACCAAGCACATCAAGGAGAACCACAAGAACATCCCGCTGGCCCACAGCAAGAAGTCCAAGGCGGAGCAGAGCCCGGTCTCCTCGGATGTCGAGGTGTCTTCCCCAAAGCGGCAGCGTCTCTCGGGAAGCGCCAACTCCATCTCCAACGGCGAGTACCCCTGTAACCAGTGTGACCTCAAGTTCTCCAACTTCGAGAGCTTCCAGACCCACCTGAAGCTGCACCTGGAGCTGCTGCTGCGGAAGCAGGCGTGCCCCCAGTGCAAAGAGGATTTTGACTCCCAGGAGTCCCTCCTGCAGCACCTGACCGTGCATTACATGACGACCTCGACCCACTACGTGTGCGAGAGCTGCGACAAGCAGTTCTCCTCCGTGGATGACCTGCAGAAGCACCTGCTGGACATGCACACCTTCGTGCTGTACCACTGCACCCTGTGTCAGGAGGTCTTCGACTCCAAGGTGTCCATCCAGGTGCACCTGGCCGTGAAGCACAGCAACGAGAAGAAGATGTACCGCTGCACGGCCTGCAACTGGGACTTCCGCAAGGAGGCCGACCTGCAGGTGCACGTCAAGCACAGCCACCTGGGCAACCCGGCCAAGGCCCACAAGTGCATCTTCTGCGGGGAGACCTTCAGCACCGAGGTGGAGCTGCAGTGCCACATCACCACGCACAGCAAGAAGTACAACTGCAAGTTCTGCAGCAAGGCTTTCCACGCCATCATCCTCCTGGAGAAGCACCTGAGGGAGAAGCACTGCGTGTTCGACGCCGCCACTGAGAACGGCACGGCCAACGGGGTGCCCCCTGCGGCCACCAAGAAGGCCGAACCTGCCGACCTGCAGGGCATCAACAGCCACGAGGCCAGTGAGGATGACGTGGACGCCTCGGAGCCCATGTACGGCTGCGACATCTGCGGGGCGGCCTACACCATGGAGGTGCTGCTGCAGAACCACCGGCTGCGGGACCACAACATCCGGCCGGGCGAGGACGACGGCTCGCGCAAGAAGGCCGAGTTCATCAAGGGCAGCCACAAGTGCAACGTGTGCTCGCGGACTTTCTTCTCGGAGAACGGGCTCCGGGAACACCTGCAGACGCACCGGGGCCCTGCCAAGCACTACATGTGCCCCATCTGTGGCGAGCGCTTCCCCTCGCTGCTGACGCTCACCGAGCACAAGGTGACCCACAGCAAGAGCCTGGACACGGGCACCTGTCGCATCTGTAAGATGCCCCTGCAGAGCGAGGAGGAGTTCATCGAGCACTGCCAGATGCACCCGGACCTGCGCAACTCGCTCACGGGCTTCCGCTGTGTGGTCTGCATGCAGACGGTCACCTCCACCCTGGAGCTCAAGATCCACGGCACCTTCCACATGCAGAAGCTGGCCGGCAGCTCGGCCGCGTCCTCCCCCAACGGCCAGGGGCTGCAGAAGCTCTACAAGTGCGCCCTGTGCCTCAAGGAGTTCCGCAGCAAGCAGGACCTGGTGAAGCTGGACGTCAACGGGCTCCCCTACGGCCTGTGTGCTGGCTGCATGGCCCGCAGCGCCAATGGACAGGTGGGTGGCCTGGCCCCACCCGAGCCCGCTGACCGGCCCTGCGCCGGCCTCCGCTGCCCCGAGTGCAGCGTCAAGTTCGAGAGTGCCGAGGACCTGGAGAGCCACATGCAGGTAGACCACCGCGACCTCACGCCGGAGACCAGTGGGCCTCGGAAAGGCACCCAGACGTCACCAGTGCCCCGGGTAAGTGCAGCCCGCCTGACCCTGCCCTCTGCTCCTTGGGGATCCCCTGATCCCTACAGAGACTGCACCCTGAGTGCCATCTTTCCTGTGTGGTCCCTTTGTTAGCCCGGAGAGGCAGCGTGGCCCAGGGCGGCCGAGCACGTCTGCCCTGCAGGACACGCCACTGCTTTGAATCCACGTCGCCCTTTTCCTTTCCCGCTGTGTGACATGCACACACGGATGATCTCTCTGGGCCTCATTTGTCCAGAGCTCATCGGTACAGTGGGAACAATTATCACCTGGACTTCTTAGACTGGTGGTGAGAGGCCAGTGAGATTCAGTGTCTGGCAAGTGGCAGCACACATAGCCCTTCCTCAACCATGGCTGGTGTCTCTGAGGTTGGTCTGACGGGCGGACTGGTGGTGGACTTGCTCACTGGGTCTCCTTGGGCAAGTCACTTAACTTCTCTGGGCTTTTGAGCTGGGCTTCTCTTGATAAGTCTTGGAGGGGTCTCCCAGGGGTTTAGAGCCCAGCAGGGGGCTGGGGAGCTCAGGCACACTTGCTGGCATCCAGGTGTCATGATTACCAACAATAGCATCGTTATTGTGGGTGCAGTTGTGGTGCATGGAAAGCCCTTGGGTGCGGTCATCGGTAGTGATGGACTGATTGATTCCTCGGCTTTTCTGGAGTACCTGTTATGTCTGGAGCCTAGGAGCCAAGGAGAACCAGCAAGAGATCTCACCCTGGGGGCTTACGGACCAAGGGAGCCACGGGCCCAGGGTGGCTTTTAGGCAGGTGTAATGGTGCACTCCTGTAATTCAAGGTTATTACTCAGGAGGCTGAGGCAGGAGGATCACAAGTTGGAGGCTGACCTGTGCAACTTAGCAAGACCCTGACTCAAAATAGAAGACAAAAAGGGCTGGGGGTGCCGCTCAGTGGTAGAGCACTTGCCGTGCATGTGTGAGGCCCTGAGTTCAATCCTCAGTACCACCAAAACAAAACCCCCAAAACAAACAAACAAAAAAAAAACCCGAAAAACAAAGAAACGAGAGACTTTCAGTGAGGCAGAGGCAAGTGTCGGCCACTGATGGGCCTCCTTGGGCCTGCCTTCAGGGGCTGAGGGCCAGCCGGTGGAGGACACGGAGCCTGCGTGGCCCAAGGTTGACAGACAGCCCAGGCCCAGGGATTCCCGGATTCCCATCCAGTCTGTGTGTGTTTCTAGATGGAGGAGGTGCCAAGCGGTTCTCAGGAGTGCTCTCCCCTCGAGGGCTTCTGCTGGCGCCACTGGCGGGGAGGTAGGGTTTAGGGAAGAGCCACCTGTCACAGGTGCCTGCTGCAGGAGAGGGGATGTTTGCTGAGGGTGTTTGGCCTCGGGATCAGAACTGGGCCTGGGGCTCTGGGGCTTTGAGAAGGCGCGGGAAGGAGGTCTGCAGAGGGTGAAGGGAGGGTCCCGCAGTGGGAGGGACAACGGAGGCCTCGTGGCCCAGGCCCCAAGCCCATGGAGACCCAGCGAGCCAGGGCGACCTGTCTGTGGACAACAGCTAGGAAGAAGGCGGCCTGAGTGGGGACAGGGCTGTGTGTCTGGCTGGGATGGGGCTTGTCCTGAAGACCCTGCAGAGTGAGGTGCTCCTGACTAGGGATGGTGACACCCCACCCTCTCGGGGCCTTTTGGCCGGGCCAGGCCTCTAAACAAGGGTGCAGTAGGATGCCCTTCACCGGCCCTGCATGTGGGCCCTGGTGGCTGCTGCCCAGCTCTGCCCCCGTCGTCTCCGCTGGCCCGGCGTTGTGGGTGGTCTTGGGAGGGTTGGGGCCCTGGAGTCAGCTGGCCTGGCTGCTCGTCTCTCTGCTCGTGCCCCGCTGTGATCTGGCCTCTCCGGGCCTCGGTCCTCCTCCGTGAAGCCAGAGGGTAACAGTAATGGTAATTAATAGTGATAGCAATGCAGTAAAACAGAAGCAGTCATCTTGTCTATTTCCAGAGCCGCCGTCCCCCGGGTGGCACGGGGGGCCATTCGGGCTTAACTGGCATCTGCTCCGATGGGTCAGACACCGTGACCGTTTCCCAGGCTGACCTCCGCCTTTTGGCGAGGCTGAGCGAGTCAAGGACTGGCGGGGCGCGTAGGAGGCGCCACTTGTTGTCTTCCTCATTTGTGGTGACAGTCCTCACCTGCTGGGGACGAGGAGGGGCCAGGCACTTTGTATCTCGTCGACGCCTACGGCACTTATTTCTTCAAGTGAGGACACCGAGGCAGAGGATGGTGAGGTCATTTGCCTTGAACTGCGGCCGTGGAGAGGCCCAGAGGAGACTGGACTCCAGGCAGGCCATGTGGGGTGCCCAGCCTGTACCCTTGACCAGCCACAGTCTCCTGAGCAACTCGGGGAGCATCCTGGCTGCAGGAGGGGTGAGGCCGGCTGGGGCAGGGTCCAGGCTGGTCAGGCCTGGGCTCAGGTACAGTGTGGCTGGGACCCTGACCCCTTCTCCTGGGGGCACCTGCATCATCCCTTGCCCTTTCAGCCCCGCCCACCAGCTGGGCTCCCTGCTGGCCAGAGCGCTGCTTCCGGTGCATTCAAAGCCTGGATCTATCGGAGCCTCCTCTTCCCCAGTCTGCTCTGGATCTCGCGCCAAAGCACCACTTTGTGAAAGCCCCTACTATGTGTGAGGGCGGCTCTCCTGGGCACCTGCTCTTGGATGGTCTCCGTAGCAACAGCCTTGGAGTCTGGCTGTGGCCTGTGCCTTGGCAAAGGGGGAACCCAGGCTCAGAAGGGTGAAGCCACGTAGCCAAGGATGCATAGCCGCACGTGGGCATGCGGGGACCGAAACCTCATTTCCCGGAGCTTGCAGACCTTCCTTTCCTGCCCTCTAACCTCCTGAAAGAGGGGCTGAGCTGAAAATCCCATCTCTGCCAGCCCAGAGGCACAGGCAGATGGGCCATTTGCAGAAAGGAGCTAGACAAAGCGCAGGTACCTCCCCAGCCAAGGATCCTCCGGGGCCGCGCCCCCTGCCTGGGCACGCCTGGGGGCAGGGGCCCAGCTGTCTGTTCGCCCACCCCTTCCCTCCCCCGGGACTCACTCATGTCAGAGCAGACTCTGGGGGCTGTGCAGGGGCTTGGGGGCTGGCAGGCTGGGACCCTCGGGAGTGTATCCATAGCAACCAGCTCTCGGAGGACTGGGTTCCCGTGGGGCCGAGGCTGCTGTCGGCTGGAGCGTGAAGCGTTGAGGTTTCCACCTCCCCCTGTTCGTGGGTAATAACAGCATCGCCCCCTCCCTTGAGGCCAGTGCAGGCAGACCCCGGCCCTGCCTCCGCTCAGCGGGCCCCAGGCCCTTTCTGGGTTCGGCGGCCTGAGTGCTCCCTTCCGCCGTTTGACAGCCCGGTTAATGGACCTGCAGGTTTGGAGGATGAGCTGATGTCCAGGTCACATCAGTTTTCTGTCACCTAGACCATGACTGTCCAGGGAGGTCTGTGGCCCTGAGCCAAAAAATGTCAGCTGAGACAGTGGACTCCAGAGGGAACCTCCTGCCTGCCAGGCCCAGTTCCCCTCCTCGCCAGCCTGGGAGTCAGGACAAGCCACGCACCTCTCCATCCCTGATGTGGAGCTTGAAAAGGGGCGGGGGGAATTCAGTAGGAGCCTTTCCCGCACGTCGTAGGTGCTCAGTGCATCTCAGTGAAACTCAGCAGCTCTGACTGTCCCTTCCCTCCTTCCCTTTCTGAAGGCCCAGCCAGCTCCCCCCTCTATCCCTGCTGACCTCAGGGGTTTTTTCTTTCTGCTCGGAGGCTGCTCAGGGCCAGGCAGGGGAAACAGCTCCTGGCCACAGGTCCTGGACCTCAGCTTTGGTGCTCCTAGCCTGGGCCCCAGGGAAGGGGAAGACAAGGCACTTTGAATACGAAGTTCTTCCTTTCATAATGATGTCTCCTAGCAGGAGCTGGAGGGACGAGGGGTGATCCCTGGGGCCTAGAGGCCCAGTAGATCTTGGGGTAAGGACTAGGGGTCAACCAAGTTCAGAGAGGTCAGTGTCGGTGACCCTGTGTGTGTGTGAGACAGGGTGCGTGCCTGGGTACGAGTGCACTTAGGTACCCTCATGACCTGTGTGTATTGGGTAGGTCTGGGCCACCCACCCGGTAGAAGCTGCTTGTGTACCTGTGGGTGAGTTTGGGAGTTGGGGTTCAGGGTTCCAGTGCCAGAGCTGAAGACGGATGTGTCTCTGGAACACGTATGGGTGTGTGGACCTCTGCAACCTTCAGGGTGCATGAGGATGCCTGCCGTTCTCCAGGCACGACACACATCCCACAGGCGAGTCTGGGGTGCAGGGTGCAGGCTGCTGTCAGGGGGGTTGTGGGCATGTCTGTATAGGCCGTGGCTGTTCATTTTGAGCTGGGCCGATGGTGAGCATTTGAATGCACGTGTGTGGACGTTTGCGCATCTGTAAGTCCTTGTGTGGATGGAGGTCAGCCGTTTCTCTGGCTCCTCCCTTGGGAATCCTCTGGGGACAGTTTCTGCACCAGGGAGGGCCCTGTTATCTGAGAGTTCTCTTTCTGCCACCAAAGGGTGACCACGTGGCGCAGGGGCATTTAGCAGGAGACTCTCTTCCGGCCTGAGACCCTGCTGATTTATTTTCCAAGACCTGTGAGCCCATTTGTTCACCTGCCCCTAGAGGGACAGCTGGATGGCCCTGATCGTGGGTTGCTCCTCACACTGGTCTGGACCAACCATGGCTGGAGCCTCCAGAAGCTTCTGCCCAAGCTGATCCATGGCAGGGAAGATGGTCTTCCTGCAGCTGGCCGGCTGGGGCCTCACACCCACCTTCATCTTACCCACCCCACAGGGGCTGGGCAATCCTGGGCAGGCCTCCCTGGGCTTCCTTGGAAGGGGCACCTGCATTTTCCTTCCTTCCTTCCTTCTTTCGTCCAGGCATCAAGGGCTCTTACACTTGCAGGCAGATAGGGTGGGGTGCGTGTGAGCGGGAAGGAATGATCTTGATGGGTTTCATGGAGCTGAGCAGAGACAGGGGCTTGAGGGCTATGTCTCCTCCACAGACCCCAGTCCCTGCAGTCCCCTTAGGCTCTAACATCTCCTATGCCTGTCAGGAGGCTGGACTCCTCAGCTCCGTCCTGTACCACCCCTCAGATGTACCTCCGTCTTCCTGTGACCTTTCCAGGCCAAGTGCCTGCCTCTGGGCCCAGGCTGTGGCCTGTGCTGGACACCAAAGCTCCCAGCACCAGTTTTTCCATTTTCTTAGCATCAGTAAAAATCCTGAGAACAGTTAAGTGATCACTAGGCACGCACCCCGATGAGGTCCTGCGCTAAGGTGGTATGGGATCCGGGTACGCGAGTCTCCTTTGGTCTTCTTTGTCTCTGCATGTATTGTTCTGCAACTTGGCTCGTGTGTTCAACAAATCCTTCTTCAGCGTCAGTCTGTGCTGGCCGAGGAATCCCCAAGGTGGACAAACGCGTTCCTGGTCCCCTGGGAGCTCAGGGTGCGGTGGGGGAGCAGACAGTCCATTAGCCGTGAAAGACAGTGTACTGGTACCCGGCTGCTCTTGGCAAAAGCTAGAGGTCTGGGGAGGCCCTGGACTCGTTCTGGGTGAGAAGAGAAGGCTTCTTAAAAGAGCTGACGTTTGGGCTGAGCCTCAGGAATGGCGTGAGCATGTCCAGCAGTAGAGGCAGTATAGACACAGGGCTGCAGGACGGGGGTGCCCATGTGGGAGCTGCGGCTGCAGAGCTCACTGGTGGCTCTTGCGGGGCTCACAGTTTGATCCTTGGGCAAGAAATTGGAAGTTCTGGTCCTTTTTCCAGAGGTAAGGGAGGCCCCATCATCCCAGAAGCCAAAGTGGTCTTCAAAAAACCTGGATATTTTGGGTCCTGATACAACACCTCATCCTTCAGAAAACCCTATAGCCACAGTCTTTCCTCCAGATAGGCAGCACCACCTGTGTCCCCAAGAAGCAGGTTTCACAACTGAACAGGTTTGGTCATGGCAGTAAGCCTCATTCTTCACGAATTTTCAAGAAGCTCTGAGGAGCTGGAGTAGCTGGGGGTGGGGGCACATGCGTATCATCCCACTGACTCAGGAGGCTGGGGCAGGAGGATCTCAAGGTTCAGGCCAGCCTGGGAAATTCAGCAAGACCCTGTTTCAAAATAAAAAAAACAAAAGTGGCTGGAGGTGTTGCTCAGTGATAGTGCCCCTGGGTTCAACCCCTAGGAGTGGTGGTGATGGTGTCCGGGGGTGGAAGTGTCTGATGATCTCGACTTTTCTGTCCCCACCACCAAAGGCAGCTGGTAATACTCTCCGTGTGTGGAGACCAGCTGTAGATCCCCTGGGACTCTGTGTGCCCTGGGCAGGTGAGGAATTCCTCAGCTGGCCTGGAGCGTCACAGCCCTCAGGAGCAGGGTCCCCTGCTCAGCCACATGGTTCTCAGGGTGGGAAAAGGCATTGGAAATTTCCTGGATGTGTAGAAAGTGGGTGGATGGGGGGGTCCACCTGTATGTAGATGGATAAATGTGTAGGCAGAAGGTAGGTGAGCAGATGTACAGAGGCTGATGGATGGGTGACTGGGTCCTTGGGTGGGTGTGCAGGGAGATAAATGGGTGGGTACCTGGAGTCTCCTGCCCGAGCGGGGTGGCCTCTCTCAGTGCTGGAAAGGTTGACCTTGGGTTGTGGCAGTTTCCTGATGTAGCAGAGGAAGCTCCCTTGGAATGGGTCCTGGCCTCCTTCCCCAGTCTCTTGAGGCTGGATTCCAGGGGAAATGGGAAGAGACTGGCCCTTCTGGGAAGTCCTGAGCCCGTCTGTGTGGGAACTTCTTTGTATGCCCCCTCCTGACTCTGACTCCTTTCTTCTGGGTTTCCAAACAGAAAAAGACATACCAGTGCATCAAGTGCCAGATGACCTTCGAGAACGAGAGAGAGATCCAAATCCACGTTGCCAACCACATGATCGGTAAGAGAGCATTTCCTCCCCGCGGCGCGGGGGCCACCCATCAGGGCCTGAAATTTGTGGTTCCAATCATCATTTCACCTGCTTTTAGGGCAAAGGACCGAGCCGCTGCTGCTGTTTCGGAGACATTTCAAATGGGAGTAGAAATGTCAAAAGTGGGAGTGTTTTCTCCACCCGAGCCTTCTTGTCGCAGCTCCGCTCACATTACAATCAAACTTTTGACAATCTCTTCCATTTCCCAGCATAAATTTCCCTCCATTTCTGAAACGAAGTGCTTTCCAGTTGTCAAGCACTCAGGGGCAATTATGCCTCAATTTTGTGTGTCATGACATTGAATAGATTTAACCACTCACACTTCCCCACTCGACGTGCTGAATTCCTCAGGCACGCTGTCAAAACAGGCTGCTTACAAAGTGGGGCTGGTACTTTCCCTTCTTCCTCTTCCAAGGGGATGTGGGCTTTGGAAAATCCAGTTTTCTAGAAGGGGAGGTTTCAAAGGCCTGCAGAGTTCTCCCGCTGGGTCTGAGGTATGGGGGGAGCTGTGTAGTCTTGCCGACTTCACAGGTGGGTGGGTGTGGGTGCCCTGGGTGTTCTGGGTGTGGGTGCCCTGGGTGCCCTGGGTGTGTGAAGGACATGGGGGTTTGAAGAGCAGGGGCCAGCCCCCGGCTGAGGAGGGTCGGTGTGTTTGGCTTTAGGGCCTTTGAGAGCTGCTGGGATCCTGGTATCCAGGGTCTTTCGTGGATGTCTGATCACTGGTGTTGGTCAGCTTTCCATTGCTGTGACCAAAACACCTGACGAGAACAACTTTGAGGAAGAAAAGTTTATTCTGAGCTCATGGTTTCAGAGGTTCTGCCATGGTGGAGTGACTCCATTGCTCCAGGCCTAAGGTGCGGTGGAGGGTAACTGCTCACCTCTTGGTGGCCAAGAAGGAGGGAGGGAGAGAGAGAGAGAGAACGAGAACGAACTAGGAGCAGTAACAAAATATAAAACCCCTAAGAAATGCCCCCGCGACCCATTTCCTCTGTCCACACCCCGTCTGTCTGCCGTTCTCACTCAGTAATCCATTCAAATGATTAACGTATCAAATGGGTTAATCCAGTGGTTATCTTAGAGCTCTCAAAATCTGAGCATTTCACCTCTGCAAGAACACAGGAGCTTTGGGGGGACACCTTGTATCAGCCTCTGCCTCTGAGACTCCTGTTGTCTGAGCAGAGAGGTTTCAGTCTAGTTTCAACAGTCACTTTTCCTCTTAGGCCATCTTTTCACTACAGCCTTCACCATAGTCATGGTACCCTTCACTGTGTAGACTCCCAGACCTCCTGTGTGCACACAGCCCAGGGAGTTCCCAAACCTCCTGTGTGCACACAGCCCAGGGAGTTCCCAGACCTCCTGTGTGCACACAGCCCAGGGAGTTCCCAGACCTCCTGTGTGCACACAGCCCAGGGAGTTCTCACCGTCTGACCACACCTGGGTAGCCCACACCCAGATCAAGAAAGGAGACTCTTCCCAGCATCTCTTGGTCTCCTTAGGACCCTCCCTCATTAATGGCAGGCCATCACCGTCCTGGTGGCTGAGAGCATAGCTTGGTTTTCTACTCAGGGACCTGAGTATAAAAGTCATCCCCACAGCCTCCGCGGGCTGGTGTCGGGCACCTCTTGCTGTTCACACGACTGCCTCTAGTTGGCGCTCATGCCTCCTCAGTGCCGTGTCACACCATGGTGGACCAGGCCACTGGGGTCGCTCTGCTGTTTCAAGCCGTGTGCTGCTGGGAACGTTCTCGTCATGCCTGTTGGTGAACATGCCTATGCTATTTGAATGGGAGTGTAGTAACCCATAGATCCCATCTATGTCTAGTAGACACATAGGAGCGCAGGGGGAAGGCGGGCTGGGGATGGAGGTACTCACCTTCAGGAGACAGGTTCTCCAGCGGTTGCTCCCACCAGGGGCAAGAGTGTGGCTTGCTCTCCATATGTGCTGTCACCACACCATCAAAGGAGCTATTGTGCAAGGGACTTCTTTAGTGAAGGCGCTTGTGGAACGAGTGTGGGTCCCTGGTCCTGGCCCAGCCACAGCACTGCTGGCCGGCTCTTGGGGTCAGGTGACAGCATCTCAGCTCACCCCTCATCTGAACAGCCTGTTCCTGCAGCGACGTGGAGCCGGTCCCTGACGTACTGATCCCCGGCCGTGTGTGTGTGTGTGTGTGTGTGTGTGTGTGTGTGTGTGGTGGGGCTCACCTGGTGGTGAGGGGAGAAGCAGAGCCCAGGAAGGCCAGGTGGGGCCCTGGGAGCTGGGCCTGACAGGGAGATTGGTGGCTTTTTAATTTCTTGTGTCTGAAAGCTCCCTGCTGGAGTGTAAGAAGGAAAGCGACCCTGCCAGTCACCGGCTGCTGAGAGCCCTTTCACGGGCGTGTCAGGGAGGTGAAGATGAAGATATCTAAAAATGTTTGCCTTGGTCGCAGGTGGTAATGCGGCTCCTGTTTGTAAGCAGGAAGGGCGAGAGCCTGGCTAATTGGACCACAGTGATTTCAAAGGTGCTTCCCCCCTCCCTTCCCTCTCCCACCTTCCTTTTGTGCAGACTCTGGAAGCCCGTGTCCTCGGGTGGAGGCGAAGGGGGCTGCTCTTCACTGAGTTGCGGGAGCCTGAAGGGAGGGCTTGATGGACGGGCATTTGGGCCTTTGTGTGAGCTGATGGCCGGGCTTCCACGGGAGGGAGTCGCATCTGGTGGCGGGACAGGGGCCCTCACCCACGCCCGCTCCATGTGCTGGCCCGCTTCCGGGCACACAGGGGGCTGGCAGTGAGGAGTGGTTGGTCTCGGAGCCGGAGATTTCGGCCCTGGTGCGTGACGCTGATGCCCCCTCCTCCTGCTGGCCCCCCTCACTGCACCACCCTGATCGCATCGTGGACGGAGGCACCGACTGCAGGCCAAGGGCTGTGGTGGCCTCTGTCGGCGACAGAGGTTGAGGGGGACAGAGGGCGGCAAGGTCCCTGCCCTTAGATAAGGGAGCCAACAGCTGCTGTTTCCCAGCACCTTGCCGCGGTGCTAGTCTCCCGTCTAACACCAGGAACCTGGGCTTGTGGAGGTTAAATGGCCAACCCAAGTTCTCAGAGCCAGCGAGCAGCAGGGGCAGGGGCCTGAGCCTGCAGGGCGAGAGAACCTGGGATTCCCCCCGCAAAGAGGGGAGATGGACGGGCATCTGGGTTGGACATGAGCGACACTGATTCTCAGTGACCTCTGAATCCAAAGAGGTCTGTCGGAAGGGCCAGGTGATGAGGGGTGGAGCAGGGCCGTCTCCAGCAGGACGGTGGCCCAGGAGGAGCACCCTGGAACCCAGGTGCTGTTTCTAGGTGGTGCAGGTGGTGCAGGCCCTTCTTAGGAGGACTGTGGGGTGAGCAAGGCTCAGAGGCAAGAGCAGGGCAGGTTCAGAAGTCGTAGCGTCTGACGAGTGATCCGTGCGTGCGGTGGCATCGTGATCAGTGAGGGGTTAGGGAGGGTGTTTGGGGCCAGGTCACAGAGGCCTTGGCTGCCCAGTGAGGGGGTCTCGGCTTGGACTTCTTCACCCTCTGGGCCAGGGTCCATCCCTGGAAGCCCTTGGCTGATGATGTCTTTGGCTTCTCTTGAAGAACCCGAGGAGGTGGCAGCCAGGGCTCAGCATCCCCAGAGGCACAGTGGGAACAGAGAGCCGCGCTCCCCGTGGGCAAGGCTCCCACACAGCCCCACCAGCGGCCACTGAGCTACAGAGGTCCGCTGAGCTCATTTGTGTCCTTAGCCTGTCCCTGGGGTCTCCTGAGTGTGTCGCCTTGAGCTGCAACACTAGGGAGCCATGGAGGGTTTTGGAGCAGTGTGGCCTGGACTCAGCCGGATGCTTTAGGAAGGTCCATCTGGCTGCAGGGGACAGATGGGAAGAGCACCCAGGCCTGCCTGATCTCATGCAGGGTTGAGGGAGGGGCAGGGGTGGGGGCGCTGATGGGATGACACCTGACTGCTGCCGTGTGCCTGGGGGTCGGAAGGGGAGGCGGACACTGGACTGTGTGGAAGGCAGGTGGACACGGAGGCCTGGTGTGTGGCTGACTCTGCTGGGGCCATGTCTCTGTGGACAGCTTCTCCTGCTAACCGACTGGAGCCCAGAGAGGCTGCCCTGGAGCTGGACGGGGTCACAGTTCCCCTTAGCAGTGCCGAGGGGACTGATTGGGTGGAAGCGGCACTGTTCAGCCTGGTGGCCTTCTCATAAACTCGGGGCCCTCGGGGGTCTGAGGCAGGCCTCCTGCGTCTGCTGGAGACCTCCCCTGGGGCTGGTAAACTGGCCTTTTTATGGGGGGGGGGGGCTGTGTAACTCTGCAGCCTGGAGACCCGGGGAGCTGGGATGGCTCAGGGCCGGTCTCCTTGGAAACACTTTCCCAGCACCCCTCTAGCTGCTGCTGCTGGGGAGGGAGCCATTTGGATCTGAGAGAAAGGCAATCTCAGCTCTGGGGTTGCCTTTGAAATCCCCCCTCCCCACAGAGAATGAGGCCCCTTCCCCGGGCCTCCCCTGGCTTTTGAGATGGCTTCAGACACCTCCCTCCATCCAGGCACATCCCCAACTTGGACCCGCCCAGAGCTCTGTTCTGTGGCCTCCTGCTGGGGTGACCTGGCTCCGTCCAGCCTCCCTGCCTCCACCTGAGACTCTGGGAGGATGCCCCCCTCTGGGCTCTGCAGGAGGCCCCTGCCTGGGGAGAGCCTAAGGAGGCTGTGGGGGGCCCTGGCTCAGAGGCCGGGTGCTCCCGGGGGCTGGGGCGGGGAGCAGTGCGTGTCTCCCCACATCTGATGCCATGTACGCCTAAGGCCTCGTGTGGTCCCCGTAGGGCACCTGGGACCCCTGCTCAGGACTCTGGGAGGCATGGCCTGCATCTGGAGACCCGTAGTGGGTGGCCTCACCCAGGGTGTCCTGCCTCCTCTACTGGCTTTGGGGACGGCTGGCTGCCTGGCTAGGGGTCTGAGAACTTGTCCTCGACGTGACAACTTTGCCG